TAATAATAATAATAATAATAATAATAATAATAATAATAATAATAATAATAATAATAATAATAATAAAGTGCTATGTGTTGTCATCATTGTATGTTCTCATACAGTGGTGAAATTGGTTCTCTGCATTTAACCCATTGCACCTGGAATACAACCAGATGGAGTAGTGGGCAACTATGTAAGCACCCGGGGAGCAATTGGGGATTGGATGTCTTGCTCAGGGACACAACATGTGGGAATGGCTAGGAATCGAGCCTGGGGCTTTCGGGTCCCGAGTCGGCTGCCCTGCCTCTACCCCATCTCGGTCCCCCAAAGAATAAGTAGAAAGAAAGTAGAAAGTAGTAAGAAATAAGTAGACAAGAGTTCAAGAGTTGCTTGTTATTTTTAAGCACTTTAAAATATTCTGACATTTATGTTTATTCATGTTTATTTTTTAATTTAACCGTGAAACAGTCATTGAAAGTTTGGTTTCATTAAGCTACATTCTGTAAATCTCTCTCATAGCTATGATACGCTGCCTGTCTGTGCCCTAAATATTTGGTTCTGTTTAATTACTTGCACTGAAAATGGTGCAAAGTCAAAGACACATGGCTCAGCAGATCAGAACAGAACTTTTTCATACAATGTAAAGCAGACCCTCATCTTCCTCAGCCCCTACCATCAAAACAAAGCATACAGTTTGAAATATGTGAAGAACATGATGTAAACCAGCAAACTTGTCCAGGAGATCCAGGCTGGATCAGTTCATTCACAGAGATGGAGGGAAACAAACCACAGCTCGAGTTTCACCAGAGGGGGCCAGAGAACTTTTCAGAGGAGATAAAAAGCTTTTTATGGAAATTATTATTTTAATTTACTGTCAACAGAGAGATGATCTCAGAGCCAACACACTATCTGCGTCTTGAGTCACAAAAACACAGTTTCACGAGGCTCGTACTGTGTTGTATTTGTAGATTTCTCGTTTTAAATATAAAATCTTTTAAAGGATTTTAAAGACTGATTTAAAAGATTTTAAAGACTGAAAAGAAGCAAAATTGTTTTATTAGTCATGGTGGCCATGCTTGTATTTTGGTCACTCTACCATAGTTATTGTTTCATGAAACTGGGCTGTTGAAATGCCACAGAAAGAGTGGTACAGTCATCTTATACAGATTCTTTCCTGAGCGTGTGGAGCTACAAAGGGAATTGGAAAAATCTGCAGTGAGGGGCTTGTTCTGTTCTTGCTTTGTGCTGGTGCTAATGTGATTTAGCAGCCATGAAACTGGCTCTTGTTTTATTCTGTCTCTTCATCAATTGAAAAAAGTGGAGCAGAGGAACGATTAAAAGCTGGTAATCTCGAGCTCCATTGTTTTGTTTGCCCTCATTCAAGCGAGTAAACCTGCAGGGGAGGAAAAGGGAAAGTGTGGGACTGTATCTTTAACTATGTTCTTGGCAGAGTTCTGGAAGAGGGAACTCGTAAGTTTCCAGCAAATTAGAGGAAAAATTTGGGATTGGGGGTTGGGGGATTCTTCAGAAACCATGGAAACCGAACTGGGTCACTGCAAAAACTTTCTTTTTTTTAAATCAATTTAAGGCAGAGGTCTGCATGAATGTGCCTTCATTTCCACATTAAAGCTGTTTGAGGCCTTCCATGTGTGTTAATTTTATTTGACTGTCCTTTGATTGGCTTCTCCAGGGCCAGCATCAGCAGGGACCCCTTCTACGACATGTTGGCCACCAGGAAGAGGCGCATCGCCAACAAGAAGTGAAGAGGGACAATCATGCTGAAGCTCCAAACACCTTCATCTTGCTCTCTTCCAGTTCACATAAACAGAACACAGAAGAAACAACTGTCCTTACCTGTAGGAGACGTCACACGCTACTGAGGGGACAGCAGAGCTTCAGGAAATCCAAAAACATGGACTTGGTTCTTAAAAGGGGCAGCAAAAGCCAGCCTATTTGTGTTTTCATCTCAATTCCCCCACCATACACACACATACACACACACTTTCCCACGCACAATCATAACATGATCTGTCGTGTTTCAGGTGCACACGCATGCATGCGAGTTAATATTGGCCAATATGTTCGTGTTAGTGTGCAGCATCTAGAATGTGTGCATGACAGGTGCAAGTGTTCCCTCCACTGTGCTTCATGGGAAAAAAATAATAATCAGAGATCAGATGGAGAGATGGGTGGAAAGAGGAGAAAGATGTACACATTTTAGTGACGGTCGTTCAGTCAGTGCAGTAAAACCTCATGTTGTCTCATTTCTGGTGCTGAATTTTTCTCCAGGTGCTCTGTTCAGAGTAACCTCAGAATAACTATATTTAGGTTTAAAACAGAAGATTACAATTTTGAGTCAGCTGTGCTGATTTCATTTGTGTGTGTGAAGCAGAAAATTTTCAAATGTGCAGTCTTGTTTCTTTTAGCTGAAGGGCCATGGGTGTTTGCTGAGGCTTCAGACTTGGCCTTTTTTTTTGTGTGGGGGGGGACTTGAAGATTTAGATTATATTTCAGAACAGGTTGATTTGGTCAAAATGATCACCAGAAGATCAAATGGACTGAAGAAGAACTGGTTTTAAAATCTCTTTAATATACACTCAGATTGTTTAATGTTTCTCTTGTTTAAAAGCTTTACGCAGATGTTCATTTGAATGTGACAAACTACTGTGCAGGACACAATCAATGAGCTGATATGGACTTGAGAAAATGCAATGCTTTGTTCATATTTGGTAACCAGTTCCTGTCAGCACCATTTTTATGGCTTTAAAAAAAATTGAGGGGCTTTTAATTTTCAGCAGCCCCAGTAGTCAGGGAAGTTTAGATTAAGAGCAGCAACAGCATTTTTGACATCCTTTCACATACCAGCAGTTTTTGTGAGGTTGATGAGGAATAATTTAATAAAGCTATCATCAGAAATAATAATCTTGGTTTAAAAAAAAAAAAGAAAGTTTAACTTATATATATGTGTGTGTGTGTGTGTGTGTGTGTGTGTGTGTGTGTGTGTGTGTGT